TCACCACCATGACCCCACCAGGCACGCGACAGAGTTGCCAAAAGCTGGTGAGACAGGAAGGATCCAGCTGATCATGTCCCTCAAAGAAATGAGAGCAGCGGAAACAGGGCTTTCCGGCAGCCTGCTGGGTGGACACTGCTCGGTCCCGGCCCGGCCGGGTGACGCTTCCACCTCCCACACCCACATGCCTGCAGGCAGCCAGACCTGTGCTCCGCACGCAGACTCTGACCACAGGGCCTTGTTCTCTCTTGCAAAACGGGCGACCCCAGGGCCTCCTCAGACCAATCGCAAGCACGTGCAGATGAAGCCGACATGGACGTACCCGGGACAGGACACCAGAGAGGAAGGGAAAAGACCTGTTCTGGGCGAGGAGCTGCACAGAGTCAGAAGGAAGAGGTAACAATGTTCTTCTTCCCGGTCACCCAGAACGAATGAGAGTTGGGGTGCAGGGCACAAGAACACATCATGGGCGCTTGCCTCTGCCAAGAGCCATGCCAGGGGCCTCCCAGGTGAGTTCCGAGTCGTCCCTCATTCAGCCTCTCACCTGCCATTCGCTGTGCTCCTACTGTGTGCTGACACTGTGCAGGACGCCGGACTCGTGCAGTGGAGGCCGGCAGGTCCCTGGCTGCAGGAGCACCTCAGCCAGCAGGACAGACGCTGCATCACTGACTCCGTCATAACCATGAGGAATGATGCAGCGCGGGGGCAGGGAGTTTGGGAACATGACGGGGACCCCATGCAGGCTGAGGACAGTACATTGGCCTGGGTTCTGAAACGGACATGAAAAATGCTACGGAAGGTGGAGGTGGGCTTTGCAGGCAGCACAGCAGCTGGAAGGAGACAGGGAATGCAAGGTGCTGGAGACGGGGTGAGAACCTGGCCCTGACCCTGGAGGACCTGGGAGGCCATGGAGGGTGACAGGAGTTTAGAACCACATCCATCTATTCTGTGCGAGGTCCTCCAAGCCCAGCCCTACCAATCACATCGGCCTCACCTGGGAACTTGAGAAAGCAGATTCTCGGCCTCACCCCAGACTTGCTGAATCAGAAAACCCAGTTCCCGAGGAATATCTACTTTAAAAGTTTAGGGAGTGCCCTGGCCAGGGGCTCAGTTGGTTGGAGCATCATCCCATTCACCAAAAGATTTTAGGTTCAATTCCTGGTCAGGGCACTTACCTAGGTTGTGGGTTCAATCCCCAGTAGGGGAGCATACAGGAGGCAACCGATTGATGTTTCTCTCTCACACCAATGTTTCTCTCTCCCTCTCTCTCTCTTCCTTCCTCTCTCTAAAATCAATTAAAACATATCCTGGAGTGAGGATTAAAAATAATAATAATACAAAATACAAGTTTAGGGAGACTCTTGAGAGAAAACAATGGGCTAACTCTGTTTACATTTCACACTGACTCTACTTCAGACTCCAAACTGAAGGTGACTCCCCAACCTCCTCCCTCCCTCAGAAGGGCTGCCCAGCCTCTCCGCTTGCCCCACCTCCCCCTGCAAACATCTTAGTTTCCTGTTTCTTTTGTTCCTGCAAATCTGAATTTGGCCTGGCATTCTGGACACAAATCAGAGGACGGCTCTGATGGCAAGCCTTTAAGGGGAAATCTGAAAGTACTGAGAAACGCTATGGCAGTGAGAGATAACCATGAAAAGTAAGACATCTGGGCAAAGTTTAAAAGGACTCTGTACGCTCAGCCTTGAATGAATGTCACTGTGGGGAGCAACGGTGACAGTTTTCTAACACACAAGGAATGCACGGCAGAGAAAGGGATCCATTTCCTCCCTCATCAGTGAGAGCAGAGCAAGCAGGACCGGCTCAGGTTTCAGCCCGAAGAACATCTGTCATATGTTGGAGCCACAGGAGAGGAGGGGCTGCCAAGAGGGCTGATGAGATCATCCTCCCAGATGCTGGCGATGAGGTCACAGTGGCCAGGGTCGCTGTCCATCAGGGCCGACCGTGCAAGGTCCAGGTGGCTGAGCTCTGCCAGAGGTTTCTCGTCACCTGGCAAATCTACCTCCTGAGCAGGGCAGGTGCCAGCTCGGGGGAGAGGTCACTGTGTTTTGCTTCAGATACCCAAGGATCTGAGGGACACTGCACCTCTGCAAACCGTCAGACTGCCTTGCACCTGGAGGCCAGGACTCAGGCATAGGTTTCACGGAAAAGCCTATTTAGTCCTTTCCTACAGCCAACTCCAGTCTCCCCAGCAACAGCAACAGCAGCAGCAGCCTCCAGTCTCCCCAGCAACAGCAGTGGTGGCAGCCTCCAGTCTCCCCAGCAACAGCAGCAGAGCAGCAGCCTCCAGTCTCCCCAGCAACAGCAGCAGCAGCAGAGCAGCAGCCTCCAGTCTCCCCAGCAACAGCAGCAGCAGCAGCAGCCTCCAGTCTCCCCAGCAACAGCAGCAGCAGCAGCAGCAGCAGCCTCCAGTCTCCCCAGCAACAGCAGCGGCAGCAGCAGCCTCCAGTCTCCCCAGCAGCAGCAGCAGCAGCAGCAGCCTCCAGTCTCCCCAGCAACAGTAGCGGCAGCAGCCTCCAGTCTCCCCAGCAACAGCAGCGGCAGCAGCAGCCTCCAGTCTCCCCAGCAACAGCAGCGGCAGCAGCAGCCTCCTGTCTCCCCAGCAACAGCAGTGGCAGTAGCTGCATGTCAGCAAGAGCCAGGACAGCACACACCTCCCCAGTCCTGCCTCACCATCAGCGGAAAGCCCGCTTTGCAGAAGAAGAAACTGAGACAGAGAGGGCTACCGACTTGCCCATGAACCACTGCTGGTCATGTCCAGGCTGAGACTGGGGCCCAGGGTCTCTGGCTTCAGAGCCGCAGTCGGGAGGCCTCCACACTGCCAGGAACGAAGTACCTGTGTCAGACGCCCAACAAGGACTCGATCCCAGTGTGGCCCAGCGAGAGCCGCTGGGGTGAACAGGGCCTGGCCTCTCAGTAGTGCCCAGTAGACGGGAGGATGGGTGCCTTTCATTTTATTTTATTATTGTTTTGGGGTTTTTTTATCCTCACCTGAAGGATATTCTTCCATTGATTTTCGGATAGAGTGGGCGGGAAGGAAGGAGGGGAAGAGTGAGAGAGAGAGAGAGAGAGAGAGAGAGAGGGAGAGAGAGAAACATCGATGCGAGAGACACATCGATTGGTTGCCTCCCACACGACCCCAACCAGGGCCAGAATTGAACAGCAACTGAGGTACATGCCCTTGACCAGAATTGAACCCGCAACTCTTTGGTCCACAGGCCGATGCTCTAACTGCTGAGCCAAACCGACCAGGGCAGAGGATGGATGCCTTTTAAAAATCACCAATTCTGTCCTGGCCGGTTTCTCAGTGCTTAGAGCATCAGCCTGCATACTGAAGGGCCATGGGTTCAACTCTTGGTTAAGAGCACGTACCTGGTGGCAGGTTCCATCCCTGGCCCCGTCCAGGGTGTGTGTTGGAGGCAACTGATTGTGTGTCTCTCACATCAATGTTTCTCTCTCTCTTTCTCCCCCTCCCTCCCTCCCTCCCTCCTTTCTACTCTCTAAAATTATCAGTGGAAAATATATGCTCGGATGAAGATTAACAAAACAACAAAAATCACCTATACTGTCTCCCCTCCCTGCACCCACCCCACACTCCAGCTCTTTGCTAGAAGGGCCCCCCCTTCCCTGCGCCTGCCCGGCTGGACCCCGCCACCAGCCTGGATAAGCTCGCAGGCTGCAGCCGGACGCCTCACACCCCGCGGCCTCTCCGCCGCTTAGCCCCTGCTGGCGTGTGCTTTTCTACACTGTCCCAGCACTGTCCTCGCAGGGACCACGAGGCCACTGTGACCAGCAGGCACAGCTGTCATGGCTTCACATGACCCTGGACCAGATTCTGACCCATCTTGTCTGCGGTGCAATTATAGGCTCATCTGGCTTCTCCTCTTTTGCCTCCTTTTGGAGCCCTAAAAAATGGCTAAAATGGCTTCAACGACAGAACTGAAGAAGTCTGTTTCCTCAGCATTTGACGCTGTGTGGGTGCCCTGGCCGCCCCCGCACCTGCAGGACAAGCCTCTCCTGGGGCCTCATTCATCCCTCGGACGGTTCAGCTAAGGGGAGCAGCTGAGCCACTCCTCACATGGGACCTCAGAACTGCCATCAGCCCCTTCGAGAGCCACCGAAACGGGCGTGGGAGGCTGTGCCCACGGAGGGCGTCTGACCACCGGCTCAGCACCGAGGGTGTCGGCAGCGCAGCTGTGACCGCTGGCGCGAAGGGTGCCACTCAGGGGAGCTCGGGTCCGGCAGGCTCCCCTGAGCAGGAGCGGCACGGAGCCGGAGCGGCGATTACAGAGGGCTGTTCCACTCTCCAGACGACTGTGCTGACGGCGGGCCTGGGGTCAGGAGAACGGCAGGTACTCCCTGTCGATGGCCATGCTGGACCGAGCCACAGTGTGCGTTCACTGGCATCCACCTTTCCCTCCAGCCTCACCAAGCTCCGAGGGGCTTAAAGCGGGCTTTTCCCTCATCCAGAGACAGAGAAGGCTCAGGGAACACAGTGCTGGGTCCTGGCGGGGAGGAGGGAACCTTCCAGCACTTTCTCTCCAAACCAGTATATGGGAGAGTGGGGGAGGGGGAGGCAGAGATGGCCTCTGGAGGTCTGGCTCAGGGACTTCAGCCTGCGGTGCTGATGCCACACCCCGAATGGCCCCATGAGCACCGGTGCACCCCACTGAACTCCATCAAGATAGGCTAGCCCCCCCCACACACACACGGGCAGCTCCAGGCTGCCTCCCCCCGCAGACGTGCTTGTTCTATGTGACACCCTGATGATCAGCAACACACAGCTGGGCTGCAGATGAACAAACAGACGCCGCGGTAACTGTGCAGGAATGTTCTGTGTGTGGCCAACTGGCACCCCTGGTCTCTGCCTAGTAACCTGCCACACTGCGCCAGCTGCGACCAGGAAGCTCAGCTCCTGGAATTAGAACCCACCCTGGGACATGCAGAGGACGAGCAGTGAAGTGAGTCAAATCAGCGTCAACTACCTTCATGGCGCCTAGAGCTTGGAAAGTCACAGCTAGTCTCGAAGGGGTCAGCGTCGCACTGAATCTTGCACTCTTGTTCTTAATAGGGGAATGGTACTGCCCATCTAGAGTCACAGAGCCGAACCTGTGGCAGGGGGAGGCAGTGGAAAGAGAGGTGGGATCAACCGAAGAGAAGAACATGGCACCACCAGCAAGGTCAGGCAGTTCCCACCTGCACACACAGGAAAGTCTCCACATCCTGCAACCTCCCTCAGGAGAAAGCAGGGTGGGGGGCAGGGAAGAGGCTCCCCAGGACCTGGGACTCGGCAGTGGCCTCTAACAAAGACAGGCATGAGGACTGTCATCATTAAACCAGCACCAACCAGAGCCTGAGTGTGAAGACCGCCCATCACTCCACGTTTTCTTTGTTGAGATATAATCCACATACCACAAAACTCCCCCTTTTAATGTGTACAATTCAATGGTTTTTAGTATATTCACAAAGTTGTACAACCATTGCCACTAATTCCAAAACATTTCATCACCCCAAAGAGAAACTCCAGACCCCAGCAACCACTGATCTATTGTTTCTATGCATTTGTCTGTTCTGCACATTTCACATAAATGGATCAGACAAGATGTGGCTTTTGTGTCTGGCTTCTTTCACTTAGCACATCGTCTTCAAGTTTCATATATGTTGTAGCATGGATATGAGTTCTTCTTTTTCATGGCCAAGTGATATTCCATTGTATGGATCTACCATATTTTGTCCATTCATCACCTTATGGATATTTGGGTTGTTTCTACTTTTTTTACTATTATGAATAATTATGCTGTGAACATGATTTCAATTTTCCTATGTACAATATTTTCATACATACCCAGGAGTAAAACTGCTGAGTCATATGAAAACTTCAAAGTTCTGAAGAACTGCCAGTCTTTTTCAAATCAGCAAAACCATCTTACCTCCCTACCAGCATGTACAAGAGTTCCAAGTTCTCCAAATCCTTGCCAACACTTGTTATCAGCCATCTCTTTGATTATAGAGATGTGTGTGGGTGTGAAGTGGAATTTTATTGTGATTTTTATTGGCATTTCCCTAATAACAATGATGTTCAGCATCTTTTCATGTGTTTATTGGCCGTTTGTTTGTCTTCTTTGGAGAAATGTCTATTCAGATTTTTGCCCATTTTTTAATTGGGTCAAATATCCTTTTTATTGTGAAACTGTAATAGTTCTGTGTATAATCTGGATACTAGAGCCTTATGATACATGCGACTTGCAAATATTTTCTCCCATTCTGTGGATTGGTTTTTGTTTGGTTGGTTTTTTAAGCACAGAAGTTTGTTCATTTTAATAAAGTCCAATTTATCTTTTTTTTATTTTTTATTTTGCTTTGGTTGCTTATGCTTTTGGTATCACATCTAGTAATAAATCAAGTGGAATGATGCCATTGTGATCAGGAAATGTGCAGGCATCTGGGGTCATGGGCACTGGCAGCTCCAGGGGGGGTGGGGAGGCTAAGGGTCTCACCAGGAGAGCTGCAAAGAAGCTTTTGTTATGTCCAAGCAACGCAAGGCTTGGGGGGGGGGGGGGGTGGCAGGGAGTTAACAAACAAAATTGGGTCCATTTTCAGTTTGTTTCCCCCACATTTTTTCTAAACGTTTGACATCAACGACATTTATCTGCTGACAAGAACTTCAAAGTAACAAGAGAGAGTGAAGTATAAAAGGAAAATCTACAGGAAGGCAGGGAGCAAGCCTGGCTGGGGGGTCTGTTCACAGATTGAAGAGTGGCTGTGGTGTAGGGTTTTAACTGGATACCTGAAACACTGCTGAGAAAAGTAAGGTGACTGGGGTTTCTGAGCCTCTCTGAAGAGCATTGTGAGACCCCAGACTGCACCTGGAGACGCCACCTGCACCTCCCCCGTCCAGCCACCTGGACCGCACGGAGGGAAGCTGGGAAGCGACACTGAGCACCTGTAGCATCATCCACCCCAGTGTCGTTTAAACAGCTCCAACACTGAAAGGCAGTGTCCTGCCTCCTGCCACCCACAAAGCAGACAATAACACCCATTCATCATGATGGAAAAAATGAAAGGAAACTACCTAAATACCCAACAATAAGGGATTGAGTGCATAAACTGTAGATCATTCATTTAACAGTCTGTTACAGCAATGTTAAAAATGACCACGCGGGAGCCTGGCCAGTGTGGCTCAGTGATTGAGCATCGACCCATGCACCGGGAGGTCACCGGTTAGATTCCTGGTCAGGACACATGCCCAGTTTGTGGGCCTGATCCCCAGTGGGGGGCATGCAGGAGGCGGCCAATCGATGTTCTCTCTCATTGATGTTTCTATCTCTCTCCCTCTCCTTTCCTCTCTCTCTCTAAAATCAATAAAGAAAAAATATTTTTTTAAATGACCGTGCATGTGTGAATTTATTATTGCACAGAAACATCTGACATATAATGTTAAACAGAGATTATAACTTATAAAGAATAGAATTTATAAGAGGATCTCATTCAATAAAAATCAAAGACATTTCTCTCTTTAGATGTATCATCATGGAGACATTAAAGTATCACACACACTAAGCCTGGGTAGAAGCATCTTGGATCATTTTAATATTTTTCTATTTGTTTATCTACATTCTCCAGTTAGCTGTCAATAACCTTGTAGGAGTGGTAATGAGAACAAAGTCCTGACACGCAGCCCTTGAGACCAAGAGCCGGCCTGGGGTGGGTGTGAGATCACACACGCAGTAAATCTGAGTGAAAGAGAAACTACTCACTTACCCAGCAAGTTGTCCCTTGGTATCCGAACCTTGTCAAATACTAAGATTCCATCATCCACACCGTGCAGACCTAGAGCGAGCAGAAAGGAAACGGAGCGGCGGGAGACGAATCCATGCTAGCATCTGAACCGTCCCTGCTACTCCGGGACCCTGTCCATGCAAACGCAACGCCCTTTTCCACAAGTGTTGATACACTGTATTTGGGGTGGGGGTGGGGACGCTGTCTGCTGTCTCCTTTAATAGCTGTGCCTTCCTGGGGCTCAGGTGGAGGTCTCTGGGGACAGCCTGCCTGCCTGAGCAGTCACTGTGACCAGGAGAGGGCGGGCTCTAAGCAACCGAAAGGGGCACACGGAAAGGGGAGGGCCCGTTATCCCCAGGAACGCAGAGCTCCGGGGCCTCTCGTCCCTGGCGCCTCCGCCCCACACGTGGGTAAGTTTGTCCAGCAGACACCTCGAAGACAAGGACGATGGCCACAAGGACAGGGATGGCAGTGGTGGGTGGGTGGCCCGACCCTCCGGGAGGTTTCTGAAATCTGCCAACCCATCTCCTCCTCACTGTCAGAGCTGGGGTCCCCTCGTCGTTCATCTCACGCTCGGGGAGCCTTAGTCTGGGGGAAATCTCTGTTGAGAACATCGCCCTTGACAAGGACACTCTGGAATCTGGGAGCTCACAAGGGCACCCAGCAGGCTTCCGAGGGGGCGGTGTTTCGGCGTCTGCCCCACTTCACAAGGGCGGCGACGCCTCTGTTCTAGTGACACCGACACGGGGGCGCTTCCAGAGGGTCCAGTGAGGGCCTCGGTGCCCTGCTCCCCAGAACACATGCAAAGCTCTCGCAGACACACCCAGGGCCCAGTCCTGTGGCCTTGCGGTCGTTAGTGCTCAGTGGTCGAAGAACTTGAAGGGGCCGAGGTAAGACCTCCCCCCCCCAAAAGATTGCCTTCTTCCCTGGACTTTCTTCTCTCTTTTTTCCCTTCTCCTCCAACCTGTCTCTTGGCCACGGATGGCCAGTGAAGCCCAGAGGCATGGCCCACCTTCACCAAATGTTACGTGCTCCCCCCAATGCATATGTTGGAGTCCTAACCCCCAGTACCTGTGAATGGGACCTCATTTGGAAATGGGATCTTTACAGAGGTAATCAACTTAAAATGAGGTCAATAAGATGGACCCCAAGTGACTGGTGCCCTAGGAAAGGGGGAGATTTGGACACAGATACACACACGGGAAGACGCCACGTGCACATGAAGACAGACTCCTACAAGCCAAGGACATCGGTCTAGAACAGACCCCTCCTCACAGCCTCAGAAGAGACCAACCCTGCTGACCCCTTGATCTTGGACTTGGAGCCTCCAAATCTAGTCCGCCAAGTCAGGCTTAGGGCTCAGCAAGGGTCTCGTGGGCACCAGCACCGGGCTGGTGGCTCAGGAGCAGGAAGAAGAGTACCTCAACCTGCCCCGAGAGTCCACAAGTCCAAGGAGAGAGCGGACGATACAACTCAGGGCAGAGACGCCTCGTCACCAGGAAATCGGCAGGCTGGGAGAAGAGGGGACCAGTGCACATTCGTAGGCGGCACTCTTCAACGTCTCTGACAACTGTACACAAAAGCCTCCCATCAGGCCTCCGTCAGTCTCCTCCGCCTCACTGTCTTGGGGAGCTGGGCTGGACTCTCCTCGGGTGGGGTGGGAGCCGGCAGGAAGTGCCAAGGAGGGCGGGAGGGAGTCTCCTGAGGACTCCCCTTCCTTGTACGTCATATCGGCCGCAGTCACTCCTGGGTCCAAGCCTCCATGCTCATCGCGGACAGGAACGATGAAGCAGTGGGGCCCTGGGCAGGTGAAGAGATGGTGCCCAAACTCTGCTTCTAAAAACAGGAGCAAAGCCCTGGCCAGGTGGCTCAGTGGGCTGGAGCATCATCCCATATGCGAAAAAGGTTGCAGGTTCAATTCCCAGTCAGGGCACACACCTAGGTGGCAGGTTCAAGTCGGACCGTGTACGAGAGGCAACATCGATGTCTCTCTCTCTCTCTCTCTCCCTTCCTTTCTCTTAAAAAATTTTTTTTTAAATAAACATATCCTTGGGTGAGGATTTAAAAACAACAAAAGGATAGCTTTACGACTTTCTGGGACAAGACACAGTTCTGTTGAGCCCAAAATGCATTCCATTCTATGAGCACTGCAGATAACAGTGTATGACATCTGGATGTCTGATAAATTTTACCAACACGTATATTTAGGGGTAAAGGCAGAGCTGAACCCTTCGCAAGATAGACATGGCCCCATGCATGGGTTTTCCGTGAACAGCAGTGAAGGGAAGGGGTGATTCTCGTGTTCGGTGCGGACCACCTTGAGACCGCCCGTCCCGACCAGCTGGGCGAAGACGGCGGCATAGTTCCCGTGCATGGCGTTTCCGATGTACATCTTCTCAGCGTCTTCACACGGTGTGTGGATCACCAACTCCTGCGGAAACAGCAAAGCGACCGCACGTCCCTTCTCAGACCTCACTTCAAGGACGACTGAGAAACAGACCCACGTCGTGAAGCCCGCACACTCAGGGGACTTCTCAGCAAAGGAGGAGACCACCGGTGGTGTCTGGCTTAACCTTGCAAGGTCGAGGCTGCTGTGCAGCCACCTCGGTTCACACGGCTCCCTCCACCTCCCCTGTGAAAATGACTGGAATGAAAGCACTTTTTTTTTTTTTTATCCTCACCCGAGGACATTATTCCATTTTTTGTTCAGATAGAGTAGGAGGGAGAGGGAGAGGGAGAGAGAGAGAAACATCGACGTGAAAGGGACACATCAAGTGGCTGCCACCCGCCCAAACCAACCAGGGCCGGGGACAAACTGCAACCAAGGCACATGCCCTTAGCGGGAACCGAACCAGGGTCTCTCCGGACCGCAGGCCGACGCTCTAACCGCTGAGCCAAACCGGCCAGGGCTGAAAGCACTTTTTCAACAAATCTTCCAATCAGGAAAGTAAGTTGCCAGTTTTCACTGGATCCTTTGTCCTCCTTCCTGGTCTCTGTTACATTGTTACACGTGGCTGCCACATGTGCTACTGAGGCTGCCCAGCTTCAGTGTCTAAGACGTTCTTCAATGATCAACGTCTTCCTCTCCAGACTCCACACCTTTGACTTTTAAATAATCCAACACCCAAACCTGTAAAAGCCCAGTAATATCTGCTCAGCTCTCCACACTCCCCTCTCCCCCAAGGACCCCACCTATAAGGTTCACAAGACAGGATGGCCCTGGGGCCCCTGTCCACGTCTATGTGTTTCCTTCTGTCTACTGGGCATCACTTCTTTGGGACAAATCACTTGGTTCCTCGTGCCCGCGGCTGTCACCCGGGCCATGAATGTCGCCCCATGAGAAGGATCTGTCATTCAAAGAGCAACGAACCAACCGGAGGCCAAAGCTGCATGCTCGAAGCCGGCAAACGCAACGGGCAGCATGCCCTGCTCCCACCACTGCCTAGGTTCTCAGCCCAAACAATTTTGATTTTTATAAAGAGAAATAACTCAGTTAAGGCTTTAGATGGCTGTTTCAGAAGTTCCTCAAAAAGGTTCACACGTGCAAGCCCTGAGACAGAGCCATTTGTAAATGACCTTCTATGTTATAAGAAAAAGAACCTTCAAATGTATCGTGCAGGTCGTCTCCACAATACGATCCAGGATTCCAGCTCAAAGCAGTCTGAAAATGACAGGGATCAGGAAGAAGCGGGGAGGAAATGCAGGGTTTTAGGTCTCTGCTCAGAACTTGGCTTTCTTGTCCTTACTCTGTAGACGCCAGTAGCACAGGATCACAATGGAAATGCTCCCCTTAATCTGCTGGTTCTCCCTAATTTGGCTGGCCACCTGGGTTACCGAGAAGCATCTCGTCCAAGAGAGACTGGCGGTAACGCCAGCTCTGAATACAAGGTCCCTGCGTCAGGCAGGGCGTCGGAGGGAGATGCACATTTAATTAACCGGAGCTGACAATACTGAAGATGCGACCGAACTAAACCAACAAGCTGTTGATCATGGAAAGATTATCTCAGGTTTCAGATTTTAAAGTATATAGATTCCACTTTCTCTCTGGCCAAGAAATACAGTCCTGAAGCCTAAGAAAACCCCCCTGACATGTTTGCTCGGGGAGAGTTTTCACACGTGCAAGGGCTTTTCAGAGACATAAATACATGCGGCTGAGTCCTTTTAAGAGCAGTCTCTGGAGGCTGTCCTGGTCTGGGCAGGCCAGCCAGAACTTCTCAAAGAAAGGCACTGTTTGAGGCTAGTGCAGTAAGCAACAAACAACCACCGAAAAACAACAGCCGTGTGGCGAGGGGAATCTTTCGCCTCGAGGGCAGAGAGGGTAGTAGCAGAGAACCACTGGCCTGGCAGGAAAGACCCTGTGGGGTGGGGAAGAGGCAGGAGGCCACCAGTCGCCATAAACATCTGATATGCTCTGGGAAAGGAGATTTGTCACTTCTGGCAAAAACACTTGATTTGGAAAGTTTGCATCAGCCCGAATGCTGGCGCTGTAGCGGGATCGACATAATGCACACCATGTGTGTCAGCTCCCAGTATCCTCCTCTGCTGAAGGCCAGCAGAATGGCCAGTGCTGTGAGCTCTAAGAATTAAGATGCCTTCACACGAGAGGTTTTAGCTTCATTTATTTCTAATATTTAGCATAAAGGATAAAATTAAACTCTCTCTTACCTCTTAACTATCCATACCTCCACCCAACCCTCCCCCACAAAAATAATACAACCAATACAGGGGAAAGATGAACCAAAAACATGAGAGACTGAAACAGTCCTGGAGGGAGGGAAGGCACGTTTGATACGCTCGAACAGTTTAAAGGGAAATGAAGGAGAAACAGAAGCAGCACAGGGGAAACCCACCCCTCTCTGCCGTCCTCAGGAGACAAAGTGTTCACCAGAGTGCCCTCTCATCATTTTGGTTTCACACATTGGATCGAAGTCTTTTATGCTGTTTAGAGAAAATGGGGCCAGCACAGGGAAATTATTTTTGTGGGGGAAAAAATAATTGTAAGATGGAACAAATAAATAAAAATTGTAAATAATAATATAGGAGGACCAAAATATATTTTAAAACCTCTGGAAGACTTTAAGGGAGAAAGTGACAGCAATACAATCATAGTAGGGGACTTTAACACTCCACTGACATCACTGGATAGATCTTCCAAACAAAAAATCAACAAGGAGCCCTGGCTGGTTTGGCTCAGTGGTTACGGTGTCGGCACACAGACTGAAGGGTCATGAGTTTGATTTTGGTCAAGGGCATGTATTTCGGTTGCAGGTTCAATCCCTGGCCCCAGTCAGAGGCATGTGGGAGGCAACCAGCTGATGTGTCTCTTTCACATTAATGTTTCTCTCTTGCTCGCTCTCTCCCCCCTTCTTCCACTCTCTAAAACTCAATGGACAAATCCTCAGATGAGGATTAACCAAAAAGAAAAAGAAAGTCAAGAAGGAAACACAGACTCTAAACAACACACTAGATCAGACGGATTTAATTGACATTTATAGAGCAATTCACCCCAAACTGCAGAATATACATTCTGCTCAAATGCACAAGGGTCATTCTCAAAGATAACCACATGTCAGGACACAAACTAAGCCTCTACAAGTTCAAGAAGATTGAAATCATATCAAGCATCTTCTTGGACCACAATGGCATGCAACTAGAAATAAATTACAACAAAAATACTAAAAAAAAAATTCAAACACATGAAGGCTAAATAGCATGTTATTAAATAATGAATGGGTTACCAGTGAGATCAAGAAAGAAATAAAAAACTTACTGGAAGCTAATGAAAATAAACACACAACACAACAAAATCTATGGGACACAGCCAAAGCAGTCCTGAGAGAGAAGTTAACAGTATTACAGACCTACCTCAAGAAAAAAGAACAATTTCTAATGAACTATCTAACCCTATAACTTAAAAGAATTAGGGAACAAAAAGAAAAGAAAAAAACAAAAAACAGTGTAAGTGGAAGGAAAGAAAAAATAAAGATCAGACTAAAAATAAATGACATAGAGGGGAAAAAAACAATACAAAACATCAATGAGCCCGGCCGGTGTGGCTCAGTGGTTGAACATCGATCAACCCATGCACCAAGAGGTCACAGGTTTTATTCCCAGTCAGGGCACATGCCCAGGTTACAGGCCTAATCCCCAGTGTGGGGCATGCAGGAGGCAGCTAATCAATGTTCTCTCTCATCGATGTTTCTATCTCTCTTTCCTTCTTCCTTCTTCTCTAACATCAATAAAGAAAAAAAAATTTTTTTTTAAATCAATGAAACCAAGAGCTGGTTCTCTGAAAAGATAAACAAGACTGATGAACCTTTAGCCAGATTAAAAAGAAACAAAGAGAGAGGACACAAATAAATAAAATCAGAAATGAAGAGGTAAAGTAACAACTAACACCACAGAAATACAAAGGGTTGTAAGAAAATACTATGAACAATTATATGCCAACAAATTAGACAACCTAGGCAAAATGAGCAAATTCCTAGAATCATACAATCTTCTAAAACTCAACAAAGAAGAGTCAGAAAACCTGAACAGACCAACAACAACTAAGGAAAGTGAAGCAGTAATTAATAAACTCTCAGCAAACAAAAGCCCTGGTCTGGGGAGTTTCACCAAACATTCAAGGAAGAACTAACACCTGTTTTCCTCAAACTATTCCAAAAAATCCAAGAGGAAGGAAGACTTCCAAGCTCTTTTCATGAGGCTAGCATAAACCCAATTCCAAAACCAGATAAAGACACTACAGTGAAAAAAATTATGGGCCAATATCCATTATGAACATATATGCCAAAATCCTCAACAAAATATTAGCAAATTGAATCCAGCAATATATTCAAAAAAATTATTCACCACAACCAGGTGGGATTTATTCCAAGGATGTACAATAATTGCAAATCAATAAATGTGATACACCACGTAAACAAAATGAAATATAAAAATAATATGATCTTATCAACAGATACTGAAAAAGCATAGCACCCAATTTCTGATAAAAATGCTCAGCAAAGTGGGAATATCTCAACATAATAAAGGCCATACATGAAAAACTTACAGCCATCATATACTGAATAGGCAAAAACTAAAAGCATTTCCTTTAAGAACAGGAACAAGACAGGGATGTCCACTTTCGCCACTCTTATTTGACATAATACTGAAAGTCTTAGCCACTGCAATCAGACAAGAAAAAAAAGGCATCCAAATTAGAAAGGAGGAAGTGAAACTGTCATTATTCACAAATGGCATGATACTGTACACAGAAAACCTTAAAGACTCCACCAAAAAAACTACTAGATTTAATCAATGAATTTGGCAAAGTAGCAAAATACAAAATTAACATCCAAAAATCAATGACATCAATAATGAACACGCAGAAAGAGTAACTAAAAAAAAACAATCCCATTTACCATTGCAACAAAAAAATTAAGATACCTAGGAATAACCTTAACCAAGGAGGTAATAAACCTGTTCTCAGAAAACTACAGGGCATTAGAAAAAAACAAATAGAGGAAGATGTAAAAAAGTGGAAGTATATACTGTGTTCATGGACTGGAAGAATCAACATCATTAAAATGTTCATACTCCCCAAAGCAATAAATAGATTCAATGCAGTTCCCATTAAAATACCAATGGCATATTTCACAGATCTAAAACAAATACTCCAAATGTTTGTTTGTTTGTTTGTTTGTTTTATCCTCACCCTAGGACATTTTTTTGATTTTTTGTTCAGATAGAGTGGGAAGGAGAGAGAGGGAGAGAGAGAGAAACATCGACGTGAAAGGGACACATCAAGTGGTCTCCACCCACATGACCCAACTGGGGCTGGGAACAAACTGCAACTGAGGTACATGCCCTTAGTGGGAACCGAACCCAGGTCTCTCTGAACCACAGGCCAATGCTCTAACCACTGGGCAAAACTGGCCAGGGCAATACTCCAAATGTTTATCTGGAGTCAGAAAAGACCCAGAATAGCCACAGCAATCTTGAACAAGAACAAAGTTTGAGAGATCATAATACCAGATATCAGGTTATACTACAAAGCCACTATAATCAAAACAGCCTAGTACTGGCACAAGAACAGGCATACAGATCAATGGAACAGGACAGAGAACCCAGAAATTGACCCAATAATCAAGCACACTGCTGGTAGGAATGCAGACTGGTGCAACTAGGATGGAAAACAATATGGTGTTACCTCAAAAAATTAAAAACGGCCCTGGCCGGTTTGGCTCAGCGGTTGGAGCATCGGCCTGTGGTCCAGAGAGACCCGGGTTCAGTTCCCACTAAGGGCACGTACCTCAGTTGCAGTTTGTCCCCGGCCCTGGTTGGTCATGTGGCTGGCAGCCACTCGATGTGTCCCTTTCACATCGATGTTTCTCTCTCTCTCTTCCTCTCTCTCCCTCCCACTCTATCTGAACAAAAGGAAAAATGTCCTCAGGTGAGGATAAAAAAAAAATTAAAAATGGAACTGTCGCCCTGGCTGGTTTGGCTCAGCGGTTAGAGCGTCGGCCTGTGGTCCAGAGAGACCTGGGTTCGGTTCCCGCTAAGGGCACGTGCCTCGGTTGCAGTTTGTCCCCGGCCCTGGTTGGGTTGTGCGGGTGGCAGCCACTCAATGTGTCCCTTTCACATCAATATTTCTCTCTCTTCCTCTCTATCTGAACAAAAAATGGAAAAATGTCCTCGGGTGATGATGAAAAAAAAAAAAAGGAACTGTCATTTGACCCAATGATTTCACTTCTAGGAATATATCCTAAGAAGCCTGAAACACCAATCAGGAAGAATATATGCACCCCTGTGTTCATAGTAACGCTATTTACAATAGCTAAGATCTGCAAACAGCCCAAGGATCCATCAGTAGATGAGTAGATAAAAAAGCTGTGGTACATATACACAATGGAGTACTATGCAGCTGAAAGAAAGAAAGATCTCTTATCCTTTGAAATAACATGGAGGGACCTGGAGAGTATTATGCTGAGTGAAATAAGCCAGTCAGAAAAAGACAAGTACCACATGGTTTCACTTATTTGTGGAATATAATGAACAAAATAAGCCGAGGAACAAAACAGATCCAGAGACATGGAGGTAGGGAACAGACTGACAAACCTCAGAGGGAAAGGGGACGGGGGGCAGGAAGAGATAAACCAATGAACTGATATGCACATATGCACAACCAATGGACACAGACAAAAGTGCAGTGAAGGCAGAGGGGGGGTGGGAGCAGGGAGGGGGGCGTCAATAGGGGGAAAGGGAGGAGCATCTGTAATACTTTTCAACAATAAAGTTGTGGTTTTTTTTATGGTGAGTGGGTTTTTTTTCCCTTTAATGACAGAAAGGTGACTTTGATATCATGGTTTAAGGAAAGAAAAAATTAGCCAGCCCAAACCCAAAAGATGTTCGGTCAGCATCCATCACTACAGGAAAGCTGGGTCATTAAGGATGATTACACCAGAACCTGAAGCTTGCTCGTGAACTGCAGAGCCATAATCAGTTCCCTAACCTCTGTGAGCCTCAGTTTCTCTGTCTGTGTAAAACAGGAGCAATATTACCTTCCTATAAGATTATAGAATATTTAGCAATGTGACATGGACAGAGCTAAGCCTGGTGCTCAGCACTCACTGACAGCTCAAGGGACTGTCATGAGGGATGACAGCACACTACACAGAGGGAGTGCGACACACAGCCTAGGACATGGTGAGTGTTCACTAAAGGGCAGTCTCACTCCTGCTGTTATCATGACCTTGGATGTCACCGGCTAGTGAAGACAGCTAGCGCCAGCGTAGGAGGAAAGCGGGCACTCTCCAACACAGCCCTCTCCTGAACTTGTTGTTCTCAACACTGACCACTTAGCATTTGTGGGTCAGAAACTCTACCAACAAAAACCCAGACTCTAAAGTTCAAACTCAGCGGGAATGAAAACCAGATTGACTAGCTACACACACATGCACAGGGCTACACCCACACTCATACACACACTTGCACACTTACATGTACACAAACTCATTTCTAGAAAGAACTTCTAAATGTATTTATTCCGCCCTGGCCAGTTTGGCCAGCGGTAGAGTGTCGGCCCGCGGACCAATGAGTCGTGGGTTCGATTCCAGCCACGGACATGTACCTCGCTTGCAATTCGTCCCCGGTCCTGGTCCAGTCATGTGGGAGGCAGCCACTCGATGTCTCCCTTTTACATCGATGTTTCTCTCTTTCTCTCTCTCTCTTCCTCTCTCTCCCTCCCACTCTATCTGAACAAAAAATGGAAGAAATGTCCTCAGGTGAGAATTAAAAAAAAAAATGTATTTATTCCTTTGTAGTTCCTATGGATACCCAATATCAAACAAGCAGCTATAAAGCAGCGTGAAACAAGTAAACATTTGCTTTCTTTATTCGGGGGGAGCAGGAGCTCAAGAATAGGGAGGGGTTTGCAAAGCAGGGTTTCACACAATGGAAACACATCAATAAAGAGCATTTGGGTCTCAAGCAACATGCTTTAATTAACAAGAAGGGAGGAGCATCTCTTGGATTTCATCACATGTAGTAAAGGTAAGAAAAGTAAGACTTGCCCTGGCCGGTTTGGCTCAGCGGTTAGAGCATCCACCTGCAGTCCGGAGAGACCCGGGTTCGGTTCCCGCTAAGGGCATGTACCTCGGTTGCAGTTTGTCCCCGGCCCTGGTTGGTCGTGCGGGTGGCAGCCACTCGATGTGTCCCTTTCACATCAATGTTTCCCTCTCTCTCTCTCTCTCTTCCTCTCTCTCCCTCCCACTCTATCTGAACAAAAAATGGAAAAATGTCCTCGGGTGAGGATAAAAAAAAAAAAAGAAGAAAAGTAAGACTGATTTGTGAAATGTTTGCTTTGGTTGCCATATGTTATTCGTGCAGGTAACGAATAAGACATTGGCACAGTGCCAGTACAGAGGACCTGGCTCCTGGTAAGGAAGACCCAGCACAGACAGTGCCCTCCTGCCACCCGGTGCTCTGGAGAGTACGAACAATGACATCTCTTCCTGTCATTCACACATTACTGTGAGGAAGAACACCAAAGCAGCTTTGGCCCTGTTCTTGTAGATTTGACACAGGCATTATTTAATGAGTGCATGGAAGGTGCTTAGAGGGGTGCTCACCACACAGTAGGAGTGGTGTAAGTGCTGACTGGTATTAGACTCATGGAGAAAGACACAGCACATAGTAGGAGCTGTGTAAGGGATGTCTGGCATTAGCCTCTTGGAGGTGGACACAGCACACAATAGGGGCTATGGAAATGCTGACTGGTATTAGCCTCATGGAGGTGGACACAGCACAGAGTAGGAGCTGTGTAAGTGCTGACTGGTATTAGCCTCGTGGAGGTGGACACAGCACATAGTAGGAGCTGTGTAAAGGATGCCTGGCATTAGCCTTGTGGAGGTGGACACAGCACACAGTAGGAGATTGTAAGGGAGGCCTGGCATTAGCCTCGTGGAGGTGGACACAGCACACAGTAGGAGCTTGTAAGGGAGGCCTGGCATTAACCTCATGGAGGTGGACACAGCACAGAGTAGGAGCTTGTAAGGGAGGCCTGGCATTAGCCTCGTGGAGGTGGACACAGCACACAGTAGGAGCTTGTAAGGGAGGCCTGGCATTAGCCTCGTGGAGGTGGACACAGCACACAGTAGGAGCTTGTAAGGGAGGCCTGGCATTAGCCTCGTGGAGGTGGACACAGCACACAGTAGGAGCTTGTAAGGGAGGCCTGGCATTAGCCTCGTGGAGGTGGACACAGCACACAGTAGGAGCTTGTAAGGGAGGCCTGGCATTAGCCTCGTGGAGGTGGACACAGCACAGAGTAGGAGCTTGTAAGGGAAGCCTGGCATTTACCTCGTGGAGGTGGACACAGCACACAGTAGGAGCTTGTAAGGGAGGCCTGGTATCAGACTGGTGAAGGTGAGCACATGTCCACCTCCACTGAAGCCCTTAGATGAGTGTTGTGAATCAGAGCGCCACATGCTGGAGGGCACACCCAGAGGGTGTGATGTTGAACTCAGTCAGAGGAGGAGCCTGGCTCCAGAGGAAAGTGACCTACTGCCCAGAACCACATGACAAGGGAAATAATCCTCACCTGTGTGGACAGGTCAAAAGTGGCTTCAGTCTGGATCCCTCTCACATTGCTCCCATGGCCCCTCTCGGTCATTGCAAACATCCCAGTGTATTTCTGCTCCTGGAATTTACCGAATGTTAGAAGGGGCTTAGCTGGTCAGGCGGCCGATCTCTCAGATCACTGGGAATGTTGGTGAGAGGGAAAGGTGAGTTGGAAATAACTATAAAAATCCAGCGTGGTGACAGCTAGTGTGGTGTTAACAATATGACAGACTCAATGCAATCCAAAAAAAGAGAGTGGGAATGATCATTCCAAACAAAATTCTGGCTGACACTAATTCTGTTGGTTTTTTCTGCACACACACATACCCTAGCTACTGTGAATTTTTAAGGCTCTCCATAAAAGAAGACATCATTTGCCCTGGCCGGTTTTGCTCAGTGGTTAGAGCATTAGCCCGTGGCCAAAGAGTCGAAGGTTCGATTCCAGTCCAGGGCATGTACCTCGGTTGCGGTTCAATCCCCAGCCCTGGTTGGGGTCATGTAGGAGGCAACCAATGTGTTTCACTCGCATTGATGTTTCTCTCTCTCTCCATCCCTCCCTCCCTCCCATTCTATCTAGAAATCAATGTAAAAATATCCTTCGGTGAAGATTTTAAAAAAAGGAAGAAGACATCATCTGAGGCACATGCCATACCTGGAGTGGCTGCAGCCACTTCGTTACATGTCCTGGGCTTCCGAGATTCCTGACTGCACCACCAAATAGCCAATAAATTATCCCACACTGGAAACAGACAACACAGGCCATTGTTAGCAACAGTCAACAAATGAATGACAGCTGCCCTCCTGGTCAAACTCCACGCCCTCCCCTTCAGGGTCCAGTTCCTCTTGGCAGACACAGCTCAGGGTGCACTCGAGAAAGAGGCCACTGCCACACCACAGAGAGTCAGTGCTCCACCCCGCGCTGCCGTCAGATGACTGCCCGGACATTGACCCTGCCTGTCTGTCAGGGTGCGCTCGGTGCCTGGGGATGCAGACATGCAGCCCAGCGCAGGACGCTGGTGAGAGGCGGGGGAGCGGGCACAGCTGGGCCAGGTGGCTGCATCAGCCCCATTCAACTGCTGCCGCTGGGGCCTCGGGCCAAGGACACAGAAGCCTTCGTCCGTCTGACACGGAGGGAATGACGAGCACCCCAACTAATAAGCACTCACGTCTGCCGGCAGAACTCCATTCACACAAGGTCATTGGTTCTCATGACAACCTGGGGAAGGAAACACCATCACCTGCACTGGTCAGATGAGGACCCCAAGGTTCAGGAGAGGGCGTGACCAGGCAGGGCTGCACCCGGAGATAATGGGCAGGGCTGGGGTTCAAATCCAAGCGGCCGGACATTTAACAGCATTTCATGAAGCTACTGCAAGGATTCAGTGAGGGTCAGTAGCCAAGATGTTGTTTATTTTATAAACCCCAGGAAAGTTGCTGATGGAGGAGGATGGAGGGAGTCCCTGGCAGGGCCTCTAATCTTTTTTTTTTTTTTCTTTATTGATGTTAGTGAGAGAGAGGGAGAGGAAGGGAGAGGTAGAGAGAGACAGAAACATCGATGAGAGAGAATATCAATTGGCCGCCTCCTGCATGCCCCCCACTGGGTATTGGGCGCACAACCTGGGCACGTATCCTGACCGGGAATCGAACCAGCAGCTTCTAGGTGCATGGGTCGATGCTCAACCACTGAGGCTACTCATCATGACCTCAGGTGTAGAAGGAATAAGCCAGACCTGTGACTAGATTCCGGAGACTGAACCTGTGCCAGGTCATTCTGTCTCCCTGCTGCCATGGACCAGTGAGGCCTGTCAGGAGGGCCCGGGAGCTGCCAGAACCCCGGCTGGGACAGGCCGCGCCCTCCCACACGACCATCAGTGGGTCTCCCAGCGGTCTTGCTGCGTTCAGGTCCTTCTCCTTCCAGGGGCAAAGGGGACACACTGAGGCGCCGCAGCGGGCCTTTTAGACCATGGCGACCCCAGAAAGGACAGTGCTATGGACTGAATTGTGTCCCCCAAATTCATATGCTGAAGCCTCCCCCCAGTGTGGTGGTATTAGGGTATTAGGCTATGGGGCTTTTGGGAACGAGGTAGGTTTAGATAAAGTCATGAGGTGACACCCACGATGGAATCGGTGTTCTTGCAAAAGCCATCTGAGCTGTCTTGCTCCCTCCCTCCCTCTCTGTCTCTCCCCCACCAACCCTCACGCGAGAACAAGGAGAAGGCAGCCCGCTGCAGGAGGAGGGTCCTAGCCAGGACCTGGATCCGCCAGACGTGGACCTTGGACTTCCAGCCTCCAGAGCGGTGAGAAGATAAATGTCCGCTGTTCGAGCCACCGAGCTTGAGTGTTTTATCATCGAAGCCCCGGCAAACTAAGACAGACGGTAAGACGACCGAAGGAAGGAAGGGACGGCCGTGGGGAGAAGAAAAGGAAGCCGGCCCGCTTCTTCCAGCCTTCGGTCCCTGCGGATGGGATCCGGGTCTGGGCAGAGGCCCTGGGCGGCTCCCAAGCTAAGTGAGGCTTCCAGGCTCCCCGGGCACCTCTCTCACTCGCCTGCCCCCCCCCCCCCGCCCCGTGAACTGTCTACCACGGCCCGGCCAGAGCACCTCTCTCACTCGCCTGCCCCACCCTGTGAACTGTCTACCACGGCCCGGCCAGAGCACCTCTCTCACTCGCCTGCCCCCCCCCTGTGAACTGTCTACCGCGGCCCGGCCAGAGCACCTCTCTCACTCGCCTGCCCCCCCCCCCCCCCCCCCCCCCCCCCCCCCCCCCCCCCCCCCCCCCCACCCCCCCCCCCCCCCCCCCCCCGTGAACTGTCTACCGCGCCAGCGGCCCGGCCAGCTCGCGGCTGCGAGCGCACCGCTGCCCAAAGCGCTCAGGAACACCAGAGCCTGTGGGTAACAGACCTGGAGGCAGAGGGGAAAGGCCCGGCCTGTGCGCACAGATGACCCAGAGGAACTGATGCTGCTCAGGTGAACGGCCAGCCCAGGTGAAGCCATAAGAGGAACGTCGGCAGAGGCCACCGTACCCTGAGCGGGCAGGAAGATCTGGGGACGCCCTGCCCAACCTGAGCTCCCAGGAATGTTCCCAGACACTGCATCCTTCCGCCCGCTTCAGGGAAGGGGTTTTAAGTAGCACCGTGATCAAAGAAGCATTTTAAAATATGTTTCTTTAAATCTCTTCAGATTTTCTTCCAGGATACCCAAGAGTACAACGTTTTAAAAAGCTTTTTATTAAAAAAAATTTTTTCAAACAAAATAGAAGAGTATAATGAACTAAAGATGACCTCACGGTCCATGTTGTCCCCTTTCCACACCCCAGGTAATCTTGAAGTTTATCCCAGATGCCCTGTCACTTCATCCCTAAAAATGTCCGATACGTCTGTAGAAGAGACTTTTTGTTGTTGTTGATCCTCATCCGAGAATATTTTCCCATTGATTTTTAGGTAGAGTGGAAGGGAGGAAGAAGGAGAGAAACATCAACAGGATGCCTCCCGCACAACCCTGACCGGGGCCGAGGATGGAACCTGCAACCCAGGTAACTGCTCCTGACTGGGAATCGAACCTGCAACCCTTCAGTCCGAGGGCTGATGCTCTAATCACTGAGAAAACCAGCCAAGGCCAAAGAGACTCCTTTTAAACACACAACCCTGCCCTGGCTGGTTTGGCTCAGTGGTTAGAGCATCGGCCTGCGGTCCAGAGAGACCTGGATTCTGTTCCCACTAAGGGCACGTATCTCGGTTGCAGTTTGTCCCCAGCCCCAGTTGGGTCGTGCGGGAGGCAGCCACTCAATGTGTCCCTTTCACGTCGATGTCTCTCTCTCTCTCTCTCTCTCTCTCTCTCTCTCCCCCCATCTCTCTCTTTTTCTCTCTCTCCCTCCCACTCTAGCTGAACAAAAAATGGAAAAGTGTCCTTGGATGAGGATAAAAAAAAAAAATTAAACACACAACCCTAAAACTGTTATCCCACCTAAAAGTATAGAAATATAGTAATTCTTTAGTAGTGCCAAATATCCAATGAACAAATTTCCCTAACTGACATGTAGTATTTCTCTACAGTTTGTTGTTTGGACCAGGATCTAAATAGTGTGCACACATTGCAGTTGGTCGGAATGTCCCTTAGGTCAGCTTGGGCCACAGGCTGCCTGTCCCCGGTCAGGCCAGCGTTCCCTGCAGGACTCAGTGACCGGGCTCAGGGCCCCACCCTGGAGGTTCAGACGAGGGCCCTGCCCACCGCTCAGGGGTCCCTGTGAAGATTTCTCAGGTCACATTCTACCCGACTGAAGAGAAGGCAGGTGGAGGGGCGAGATGGATCCCGAGTGTAGACCGGGGACCTCCAGTGTTTCTGAAAGGGGGACTGTTTGTTGCACGTCAGCTGACGCATCCAGAAGGGAAGAGACCCTGATTGGCTCAAGTCACAGGGAAGCCAGTGTCCCCCGAAGGACCTAACGGTGGGTGCCCTCACCACAGTTGGCACACACAAATTTCTTTGTTTCTAATTCCTACATATTTTTAATGACTACACTGTGGAACAGAAGTAACTGCAACCTTGAGCTCACCAACGACCCACTGGGCTTCCTGTCTGATCCTTCTCTCTTCCTGTTCTTGTTATAATTTCCCCCTGTGGGAACATCAAACTGGAGGCTTGGATGCAGGGACTAATTCTGGGGTGCAGGGGTGTCCACGGAGGGAAAGGCGGGCACATGCAGAGCCTCATGAATGACCCTTTGCTGGGTACTCAGCGCACCGTGAGGAGCCACGGCAGTCATGCCCTTCGAGCCACGCCGTGCACCGCTGGTGAGCCGGGACACGTGAAGCACCCCACGGCACAGTGCTGTTTAATACCCATTTGGTCGACAGAATGTAGAAGCCTAAGACTTCCAAGTGCGGGGCGTCTCCACACTGAGGAATACAATACAGCAGTCAAACGTGAATAAACTCCACTGTGTATCATTTTCAGTGGCAAAACCAGAGACGGAGAACAGATTGGCATCTGCCAAAAAACAGGGGAGGTGGGGGCTGCAGGCAACGCAAACGGGTAGCACTGTGCGTGTCTGTGCGGATGCAACCGCTCTACACCTTGACTGTGGTGGTGGCTGCATGAATCGACATGGGGACCAAACTGCACCGAACCACACGCACACTCACACACAACTGTGTGCAAAAGCTGTGGAGTCTAAGACCTGGTCCGGCGAACGCGCTGTGCCAGTGCTGCTGTCCTGGTTTTATGCTGCATTCCAGCTATGGACGGGGCCCCCGACGGAGACTGGGTGCAGAGTGCTTACGGCTGTGCACTATTTGTGCAGCCTCCTGTGGGCATTATTCTTCCAAACGAAAAGATTTAAAATGATAACATGAATGCAGTGGCATGCAACCATATGGATCCCTCAGCAGTAACAGTTAAGTGAAGAAAGTCAATCACAAATGATACTGTTTTTGTAAAATCAAACAAGGTAACTGATGAACACAATGCAATAAAACGAACCGTGAAGAAAACACAAATACAGGATTGAATGGAATGAGTCCAGAGGAGGTTGGGGGATGGGTTGTAAGTTGTACCATTTTACAAACATCTGTTCCCTTAAAGAGACAGATACCTGCAGGGTTCTGATTTTACTCCTTGTCATTCAAAACCAAGCGCCAGTATGCAAGGGCGGGTGCCCAGGCCTCTCACCTTTCCTGCCGTGGCCACGTCCCGTGGAGAGGACTTCTCCTATGACGAGGCTTCGACTGACAAAATTCTCTGT